ACGCTGACTACATTGAATACATTATTGCATTCATTGTAGAGAGTATAGCCTCTCGTGAAAGCTGCTGCTACAAGTCAAAGTAGTCTTCTGTGAGGTCTGTGAGTTTCCATAAATTCGTACCAGAGACAATTCATACTTGTCTTTATCTATGSCTCGTGTTTTGCTTCATGGGAGTTTTTTCTCATACCAAGACAACTTATCGCTTGTAACGCGACCAGAAACATCACATTAAWTTGTGGAATTGATTGATTTCCAAATAAACAACAGAGAGCCACAAAAAGTGGCAGAAGTCGATTCTATAGATGAAGTTTTCAAGGCCTTTTTACATCTAGGTGCTGGTGAAATTTAGACCTTAATGGAAGATATAAAAAAAATGGACTATTGAGAATATCTTCCAGGCGCCCAGTAAGTTTTTTGCAAAAACTCCAGCCGGCAGAACTGATTTCAGAAAAACGAACTTTCGTGGGACGCAGACAAAACCTGATGATGATAAGCTCGGCGTGGAACAAGGCGCATGCCTCAAGGTATCCCTGTATAGCCTCACCATTGGTAAAAGCAGCGTCGGCCCGCGTTCGTCGGTTAGTCGTTGGTTCGGTTTGCGCGCGATTTACAATTAGTACGAGCCGAACGGTTTCAGCAACTTTTGGGACGTAAAAACCGGCTTGAGCACGTTTAGATCGTTTGGCGCGAACTAAAGCCGGTGGCCAGTTGTTTTGCTGTTGCCTCATAACTTCATTCAAAAGCAACCAGATTTATCAACCTTTTGCCCTGGTAAGGAACAATATGGTGTTTTTTCTCCCTTCATTGCAATGTGAAATGAACCTAAAATAAGGAATTTTAAATTTCACGAAAACTCACAAGCAGAAAATATGAATTCGACAAAATCTGCAATTGCACAGCAGTAAGTTGCGACCCGCCCTCGTGTACAGGGCCAGGTGGGAGGCAGAACGGACACCCGCTTGGGAGCTCTCACTCTATCTCACAATGTCGAATAGAATCGAACCCGGTCGGCTCAGCTCGAACCGATCAGCGTTGCTACAGGGCGCGTTTGAAACGTTCAAGGAGGATTAAATCAGTCGCGCCACTGTTAATCCTATTTGCAAATTCCATTCACGTCATTTTCTGGGATCCTGATTGGGGCACGTGGTGAATTAATCGCAAACGTCTATTTACTCGCCAGCAGAATTTGAACGCTCGTCAATAAATCTGAGCAATAAAACAGTAAACGATTGTAAAATAGTGAAAGTTGGACAACAAATTTATCAAAACCCCGTTGTTTTGGTTCAGACCGAGTAATGCGTGTATGTGTGTGTGTGTGACTCGTTTAAATGTATGCCCTAAAGATTTTCGAAAATAATGCAGTAATCGGTTCGTTTCGTAACGCATTTTGAGCGCATCTTCCGATTTTTTTGTGAAAAACCGTCCGAAGCATCGCAAAAGGCAGTAGTTACAAACGGCATTGTCCAAATGCACTCCCAATTTATTTGCTAGGGTGAATTATCGATTTCGTTAATAGAATAGACCGTGTTTGCCTGGACCCACATGAATGGAAATACTTATGTGGAATAATATACCAGTTTTTGGCACATTGAAACCCTGAAATGCAATCAATGAAACCGCGTCAAGGTTTATTACAAATTATCCCGAGATCAGCAACGCGAAGACGACAACCCTGTAGTGCAAATTAAAACTGATCATGAAATTATGTAAATACTGCCTGGTCAAGAACTACGTCTCATTCTTGCGATTTATTTACAATAGGTGATAACTGGTTAGAAATTCCCGGAACCACCGCCCATTCATCGTTGGCCAGTTTTGCATTTGCTTTGTATACAGGGTGTGATGCGTGAAACTCCCAAAACCGACCATCGAACGAAAAATATTATAAATAAAAGCCATCTGGCCGAGCACCTAATTTTGCATTGAATACAATGCCTTTATACACTTAATTCGCATTCCATGCAAAATTATTCAATAAAGTAGACGTCAACACATATCCTTTAAGCAGGATAGTTTGGTCACGGATAGGAACGTAGCAGGGCCTGGTTAAATGTGAGTGAATTCTAAATTGCAGAAATTTACAAAGTAAATGATCGTTTGTTAATTGAACTTTTATCCATTTGAACCGACTTAATATTGAACGTCCCGCGTAAAAACCCTGACTAATTCGAACGGCGATTTTCTGTTCTTCGCTGCGCTCAGAACAGAGAGCCACATGCTGGTTGCTATAGCAACAGAGCTGTTCTTGTTTACGTGCCAGAAATACGAGGGCTGTACTTATCGATAAATGTACTTGAACTGTGTATTTGGAGTCAGACTCTGAATTGGAAAGACATTTTTGATGATCTTTTCCCCCATAATCAATGACTTGCATGTGATAATTTCAAGTCCCGATCAAATCGTACAGCTCCGTTATCAGTCTGCCGAATTAAAATTAGCGGAAAAGCCTCCAATTACGTCCATTAACTAATTGCCGTATTAAGGTGAGATAAAACACGGTTAATTTATTTGCCATTAATACTCCCTTAATTAGTTTTTTAACTATTGGACTTGATAAGATTATTCGGCTCTTTATGGATGCGTACTTTCGAACCAAACTCAGCTACAGAAAAAAACCCATTTCTCATTAACTATTAATTAAATTCGAACTTATTTCTCAATTAACGATTAATAAGTTTGTTATTAATGTTATGAGTGCATTGCCTATTTTTATCTGCTTTCCTCTGGTTTTCATATTACTCGCATTGCATAGACACGTATTTTTAGAATGGCGACTTGTTTTTTTATATTATCTGTGCGTTTATGTTCTAGAAGAGTTTCCGACCATCCGTACAAGGGTAATCGAAGAACCAGTTCCCTGGAATGGCCTTAGTTAGACAAACAAAGAAAAAATGGACAGGTGAGTCTGCACGATACTGACAATCTACACCAGTGGAACTCCGGAAGCTTATTGCAATTCATATCAGAGTAATTGTTTGGTTTCTGATAACTAATGGCTTTTCTGGAAAATTCCCCGGATTTTGTTTTCAAATCGATTTAAATTCATAAAAACCCTTGATCGCACCCCATACTACAGCTGGTGCATTCGAACCGCACCGATTATGTTCGACTCTTTCCGACATTGTGCGAGCAAGAGAGCTGGACAACGGAAAACGGGCCCTTTTTCTTAAAGCCGCCTGGTGTACAAGGATCGATCGAAATACAAACAAAACAACTGAGTTAATCCTAACATTGAGGAACGTGTATTCAGTGCAATTGTCCGTAAATAATGAAACAGTTTCTCAAATCAGAACATCATCCTGATCGGAATGTTCATATTTGTTGGTGCAATTCGCCTTGGCAAGAAGGCATTCTCATTTTTTTACCGATTAATTAAAGTAAAAAGAAGATAAATGGCACCAGAATGCCAATCATGTATGCTTGCCCGATTTGCGGTGCAAAACCTGTTCTGGCTCTTAGCATGGTATTAATTTCGCATTTACTTCTCGGAATGAAAATTGTGAAGTACAACAACCCGCGGTTGGCAATAACACGTCAATTAGTGGTAGTTTAGACGCCGTTCATCAATAAAAGCAGCCGAAACAAGTGAACTCATTAAAACAAAAGGGACTGGATAAAGCACATTTGTTGAGCAACCTAATTTTATACAGGGCCTGATGGAGATTTTATGATCACTAATGACACCAAAATTATAAAAATCCGCAACAAGAAGACTGTTTGAACGAAACCAGGGTATCAACAAATTAGACACTGAACTTTCCTATCTCCGTATATGTAATTAACAATACCGCAACTGAACTTGCGCTTCAAAAGTGTGTCAGATATGCAAACCGCAAGTACGTAATATTTGTGTTGTATTTTAACATCAACATCTAACTGAATTTTTACGCGGGATTTTTTTCGGAATTTTTGGCTGAAACATTTAACATTCGACATTGAAACGATGCGAAATTTTTTCGACTCCTAAAAACTATAATTGGCGGCGGCGAGATGCGCAATAAACTGTACATGGTGGCCGAGAAAATTTACCCAAATACACCTCTCTTGCATGGGATTTCAGCTTGAGTCGGTCGACATTTTTCGCACAAAAAAAAATCTGATCAAAGTTCTAGATGCTTTTTATATTATCCACCCTGTAAACCAGCTATTCAAAGGCGTTGCCCTGGGCGAAACTATGAATTTACTACGATATGCTCGTAAAAAACAAGCATTATCACCTACACTACAAACGGTGCAAATTACTTCCTGGTTCTCAATGTTGTTGCTCAATGGCCGATGTTTGCTGCGAAATTAAGACAGTTAACCTTTGATGCAAGAGGTCAAGAATTTTTACATTATCAATTTACTGATTCAATTACACGACAAACAGTAACTTCAACTTAAGTAACCGGACGTAATTAGATTCACCGGCAGTAGCAAACACATGTTGCAATTGCACCGGCTTTTTCAATTTAACAGCCAAAGCGAAGTAATGTAGGTACTTACAAGCAATTCGCTTTTACGTCCATGCCATCCATAAACCGCTAGGCGCTGTATTCGATCTGAAACCAAAAAAACTCTCTTGAAACCGGAAGCAGACGTATTTCAATTCTGAACTTTTCAACGGTCCCCGGTAAAGCACTGATTCGTGGGAACCAAATGAAACGCGCTCTGCTTTTTGCAACACCATGCGCAAGAGCGAGCGCAATATATGAGTTGTCATGGAAACTCACCTGTCCGCGTCACACGTGCCGGACATACGAGGGCAAAAGCATTAATTTTAATTAAATGATCCCACAACAGAAAATAGAACATTACGAAATGTTTTTCTATGTAAATTAACAGGACGTCATAGAATAGTGTTTTGAAGGCGTGTATCGATAACGAAATATGTTAAAGCTTGGTTTGGTGAGTTGATAAACAAATCGCTACTTGTTCTCATAAACAATTAACATTGGAATATGTAGCAATTCATAGAGACTTCCATCCGTCATCCAGGGAAGCGATCAGTCGCTTTTTCGAGTGGTTGGTTGTATTAAGGCAACGTAAACAAGCACTCGTCTGATAAAACTCTCGATCTGAGTTAATAAAATGCCATAAAAGAACATCGAAAGTGATTAATTAGTAGATATTGCAAAATCAAAATTAAGGTTGCGGCTCTGTCAACTTTAATAATCGGCATTTGCCGGTTAATCTTTGGATCTGGGGCCAAGGGTGACGCGGCAATGCAAGAAATTCCCCTTTATTTAAACAATAAACCGGCCATCCGGAATTTCAGTGTTTTCATACAATTCATATGAGCAACCAGGCCGCGAAGTCTGAAAGTGCAAAAAATGGTGGTATTGCGATCGAAGTTTTACACAGGTAGGCGCTGAGTCGTAAATGCTACCAGATACTCAAAGAATATTGGCAAAACGTTTAATTTTTCCTGGCTTAATTTGCAGATTTTCTAACATGTCGTCAAGTGCTCAATATAATGGTGATCTTGGGCTTCATGTTCAACTACATGCTACGAGTGAACCTGACGATTGCCATTGTGGACATGGTGGAATCGAACACGACCAACAACACCTCGACAAATTCAACAAAATCCCGCATAGATGAAACTCGCTTCAACTGGAACCCTGAGCAATACAACGCAGTTTTAGGTAAGCGCGATTAATCGGAGCGACCCACATACATGGTCATTTCAAATTTCATCATCCACATCGCGCTCAACCGTTATGTTATCGTCTTTCGAAAGTTAAAAAGTTGATTTTTCCACGCATTATCTAGCGCAAAACGTTCTCCTATAAGGCCGCATACCAGATAATGCGGTTTCATCATCCATAGGAATAATACTGCGGAATTTTATAGATAGAGATAAATAATTCAGTTAGAAACGCCTGGTACATCTACTGGTCTTACGACACAAACTGGCTTCATTATTCTTCTTTCAAATGCAGCTTAAAGGTGTTAAGTTTTAAAGCAAAGAATGCCATGAAACAAGGCGTCCATTGTAACGTGATAATTTCATAACTATTCATGAACCTGGGCAACTGTTTTTAATCACCAATGGGTGTCAACATCTCTCAGGCAGCTTCTTCTGGGGCTACGTATTGACTGAACTCCCCGGTGGCAGAATGGCCGAAATAGTGGGAGCGCGAAAAATCTTCGGAGGCGGCATGCTGATGGCCTCCATTCTCACCATACTCACACCCGCCGCCGCCTACCTCAACTACTACGTGATTCTGATCCTGAGGGCCGTTTTGGGCTTCTTCCTCGGAGCCACCTGGCCCGCCATCCAGCCCATGGCTGCCAAATGGATTCCGCCCATGGAACGGTGCGTACCATCCATTGGGGCTGCATTGGAAAAAAAATCCTTTCTTTCCAGCTCCAAGTTCATCGCCAACATGATGGCGTCGAGTTTGGGCGCAGCCATCACTATGCCAGTCTGCGGGTACTTGATCAGTACCGTTGGTTGGGCTAGCGTTTTCTACGTCACTGGTGTGATCGGCATTGTGTGGTCGATTTTGTGGTTCTGTTTGATTTACGATTCGCCTGCCGAACATCCCAGAATCAGCGAGGAGGAGCGGGAGGATATTGAGGCGAAAATTGCTGATGGAGAGGGTAAGTCTTCATTGCCTGCCTGCCGGGGGCGATGGTTGTGCTGACGCTCCAGTCCGTTTTAGGAGGCAAAAACTCCAAGCCATCCTACGTGCCCTGGAAGCGCATCTTCCTAAGTTTACCAGTCTGGGCCATAATAATAACACACGGATGTTCAGTGTTCGGTTACTTCACAGTGGTCAATCAGCTGCCAACGTATATGAAGAACGTCCTGCACTTCAACATCAAGAAGAACGGACTGTTGAGCAGCCTGCCTTACTTGGGTGAGTAAGTTGCGATTTCATTGCCAGCCATTTGGGATCGGCTTCTTTAATTGGCAACCTTACGTGTCGCATGATTAATTACCAATCATAATCGATAGTAAAAGCGTTTGAGCATTAATATGTATGTGTACCTATGTGAGTGGAAAACGCAGCCGGAACTTGCCCATTATTTTTATTGCTTAACAAAGTGAGTTCATATTAAATGTCAACAGGGGCACGCATTGAGTCCAGTTTTTACTCCATTCGCTGAACTAGATTAGTGAATTTTAACGTAAAATCTAGTTAATTTGCAAACGGAGGTGGCGGGTCGGCGGCGAGTCTTTTATGCAGCTGAAGAACGGGATTTGTTGGATTTATATACATTTCTTTACATTCTATGTTCTGTTTCAGCCAAGTACATCATGGCGATCATCGCCTCCTACTTCGCCGACAGACTGCGCAAATCGGGAAAACTCTCCACCACAGCAACCCGGAAAGTTTTCACCACATTCGCCATCATGATTCCCGGTTGCCTCATGGCGGTTCAGGCGATTTGGGGCATGGATGCCACGCTTTCAGTCGCCGTCTTCACCATCAGCCTCTTCTTCAATGGGGCTGTAACTGCTGGGTACCTGGCTAACGCTCTGGATATCGCGCCGAACTTTTCCGGAACAATTTTCGGCCTGGCAAACACGCTTTCCAGCTTTGGCGGCTGGCTGTCCACCAAGATAGTGGCCGTTCTGACGGCCGAGGAAAGCACTTTTGCCACTTGGAAGTACGTTTTTTGGATCCTGGTGTTCACCTATGTGTTCGGGGCGCTGTTCTACTTGCTGTTTGGCAGCGGCAAATTGCAAAAGTGGAACAACCCGGACGAGGCATATGGACAGGATGGCAAAGAGCTGCAACCATTAAAGAGCAAACCTGAGATTGAGAAGGAGAGGGAAATCAACAATATTGCCTGATAAGTGCACGGCGCAATTCGGATTCGCTTTTTTCGGCAACGTCTCGTTACTTTAATTCTTCTCTAACTGACTGTGGTGTCGGCAAGACACTGTATTGATCAGTATTAAAAGCAGTAGAAACACCGGATGCACTGGTCCGTTGATTTTCCTACTCCCACAGACAATAACAGATTTTTGCATGGTTTTAAACTGAGAGACGACGCAACGAAAGCGACTTATGTACGTACAAACATTGTGTGTGTCCACACCTTTAAACTCCTGAGCCAATAAGTGTTAATTATTATTATATATTATTACGTATGTTTTTGTTACACATTTTACTTTATATATAAATAAACGCATAAATGATACCACTGTTGGTTTTACTTTGTTCTGGGGGAGGAGTTTGAAAGCGTTCAGTATTTTAGTGCTCAAATCATTGGCAACATCCTAAAATGATCTGCCTTTATACATATTGTAACGGAAATGGCCTGGGGTACTTACGTT